ACTAATTATGTACACTAATTACTGCATATGACTGCTTCGATACCTTCCAATCACCAAAGAAATTACATAGATTAAGCTTAATAACGTCTCAGTTTATACTCCTTGGTCTGCGCAACAGTCAAATGTGCCATCTTTGTTCATAGAGTCTCATTTCTTGTGCCATGCATACACGACAACCACCGCCCTTTAACTGAGATTTTCCTGAGCTTCACTTTATCATAATTATTTTGTGATACATTTTGATTACCCCATTACTGAACCAAGGCTTTGTTTATGTAACTCAGATTTTGTCCGATGAACTATGCATGTGTTGAAGTGATGATACATGTATTGGACCTTATGCTTAATTCCAAGAGGTTACATATCCTGGTACTTTATCAATGAAGTTCTTATTCATGTTAAAAAATGAAAGCAGCTTTCATTGAAGTTCAGAATAGTTTAAGGCAATACATATAGCTATAACTATCAACCTTTTTCTCTATTATTAGTCCCACTTCAGACGTACGGTCTGACAATTGTCCCTTTGTTTGTCCCTGTATCTGCCTGGGCTGATTTCATCGAACATCAATCAGTTTATTTTTATGATCCAATTCATAATAGCAAAATTGATAAAAAAATTCATTTCAACGAAATGGTGATTAGTCGACCCTTAGGTTGCACATTGCATTTCATATAACATGTGTAGGGTCACGTTGCCCATGAAATTATGTCAATAATTCAGTAAAATTTTGTCATCTTAATGTGGTTATATTTAAGCAAAATAATTGTCAAAATAACAGCTATTGTCACTTTAAGATTAATCAATAGTTTCATGAAAGTCTTTGGAAATTGTTGATCATATTCGGGAAAAAATTTGGGATAAATGTGATACCTAACGTAAATTACAGGGTTTAATACATATACGACTCTTGAGGAGGAAAGGGGTTATATAGACCTACTTGTAAAGATATGGCATACTAACATAGGTGATAGAATGTGATCTTGTGTGAACATTCTGAGAGGCCACTTTTAACTCATCGGATTCATGTTGGTGAAACTACTGGTGAGCCTTAACTTCAAGTATAGTGAAATTATTATAGGATAAGAATACCCCCAAAATTACCAGGATGTATGACCTCTGAAGGTAACCCTATGTTGATGTTTGTACATGTCAGTATGTATGTGTATGATTTCTTAACTCGGTTGAACAGTGAAGACGATACAATTGGTGACCTGAAAAAACTTGTGGCTGCACAAACTGGCACCAGACCAGAAAAAATTGTCATCAAGAAATGGTATACAGTCTACAAGGACCATGTGACGATAGGCGATTGTATCCTTTTATACCGCCCTCGTGTGGCGATATGTGTTTTCCTGACTCAACCTTTGTGTGTGTCACCCTCTAGTGACAGTTTGTATTACTATAAAGCTTATTTGCACAGTTTTAATTTTAAGTTATTCATGGAAAGATAATTAGCCTTTTCACCACCAGTTTTCATCACAAAATAGTTATTTATAGTCTGCTCTTTGCTTCAGAAGATTGGGACAAAAATAACCACACAGCTAGTGTCAGAACACTTCCATGTAGACCAGAAACCTGTCTAAACTAAACCCTTTATAGACCAGAAACCTGTATAAACTGAACCCTGTATAGACCAGAAAACTGTATAAACTGAACCCTGTATAGACAAGAAACCTGTCTAAACTGAACCCTGTATAGACAAGAAACCTGTGTAAACTGGAGCCTGTATAGACTAGAAACCTGTCTAAACTGAACCTTGTATAAACTAGAAACCTTTATAAACTGAACCCTGTATAGACCAGAAACCTTTATAAACTGAACCCTGTATAGACCAGAAACCTAAGCCGAACCCTGTATAGACCAGAAACCTGTCTAAACTGAACCTTGTATAGACCAGAAACCTGTCTAAACTGAACATTGTATAGACCAGAAACCCATGTAAACTGAACCCTGTGTAGACCAGAAACCTGTCTAAACTGAAACCTGTATAGACCAGAAACCTGTATAAACTGTAGCTTGTATAGACCAGAAATCTGTATAAACTGTAGTCTGTATAGACCAGAAACCTGTATAAACTGAAGCCTGTATAGACCAGAAACCTGTCTAAACTGAACCTTGTATAGACTAGAAACCTAAGTCGAACCCTGTATAGACAAGAAACCTGTCTAAACTGAACCTTGTATAGACCAGAAACCTGTATAAACTGAACCCTGTATAGACCAGAAACCTTTATAAACTGTACCTTGTATAAACCAGAAATCTGTATAAACTGTAGCCTGTATAGACTATAAACCTGTATAAACTGAACCCTGTATAGACCAGAAACCTGTCTAAACTGAACCTTGTATAGACTATAAACCTGTATAAACTGGACCCTGTATAGACCAGAAACCTTTCTAAACTGAACCCTGTATAGACCAGAAACCTGTCTAAACTGAACCTTGTATAGACCAGAAACCTGTCTAAACTGAACCTTGTATAGACCAGAAACTTGTCTAAACTGAACCCTGTATAGACTATAAACCTGTCTAAACTGAACCCTGTATAGACCAGAAACCTGTCTAAACTGGACCCTGTATAGACCAGAAACCTGTCTAAACTGAATCGTGTATAGACCAGAAAACTGTTTAAACTGAACCCTGTATAGACCAGAAACCTTTCTAAACTGAACCCTGTATAGACCAGAAACCTGTCTAAACTGAACCTTGTATAGACCAGAAACCTGTCTAAACAGAACCCTGTATAGACCAGAAACCTGTCTAAACAGAACCCTGTATAGACTAGAAACCTGTCTAAACTGAAGCCTGTATAGACCAGAAACCTGTATAAACTGAAGCCTGTATAGACTATAAACCTGTATAAACTGAACCTTGTATAGACCTGAAACCTGTCTAAGCTGAACCCTGTATAGACCAGAAACCTGTCTAAACTGAACCCTGTATAAACAAGAAACCTTTCTAAACTGATTCCTGTTTTGACCAGAACCTGTCTAATCTGAACCCTGTATAGACCAGAAAACTGCAACATGTACATGAGTATGTCTACAGTTTTCGTTTTTTCTGTGTGTATATAAATCTACAGTTAAGCCTTGTGTGTACTGTTGTATATAAAGTGAACAAAGAAACAGAAAGTATGCCTATGAGCTGTTTTCAGTGTCTATATAGATTTCAGTCTGGTTTTCCTAGTATACGTGGTGAGAGGTATCCTTCCATTGTCAGACGCCGTAACTAAATGCGGAGCTAGCAAATAAAGATTGTTGTTGAACCATTGTGACCTCAGAATATTTTAGTGCCTTTCAGGGAGTGTTACAGTCTGTTTATCGTTGTTGTCATGACTTCATTGAGGCTATTAGAAGGAATT